ACAGTCTGAATTTGTTCATACTTACACATGCATGGCTTAACCTTTGAGACAAGCATATGACTACTGGCAGGATCAACCAGGTATCATTCCTCAATGCACCTTGACACGCCAAAACCGAAAGCGAACCCAACACATCATGGGCGGTCATACGGAGGGAAACACAATCACAGAAGTGAAGGTGAAGCCAATAATGAACCAGGGAACCCTGGAACAAAATACTTTATGGGCAGACTTAGGCTAACAGAGAATTCTTAACCAGTCCCCGTTAGTGCACCAAACCCGAGTACTCAACAACAACCAATGGGCCAAAACTTTCCGGAAAAGAGACAACAGATAGTGTACCACAAGCGGTGCCATGGCGTCAATCGAATGCCAACCCTTTGGTTCCCACACGAGCAGGCACACGACAGAACTCAGCAGTTGGAACGTAAGGATGCCACCGAAAGGGTACAGAACAAAGGAAACCATTGCAGACAAAGGCGGAACCCACCAAATTGAAAAGGCTTTCACGGCAAGTTTTCGCTGCTACAGCAAGGATCAAACCTGACCATGAAAACCAAATACATCTCACACACAATTACGCATCGCAAACTTCATACACACCGCACAACCCACCAACAGACCAAAGGCCAAGTTTTTAACTCAGCAGTCAGCCCACCAGCGAATGCCTGGTGCCCATGACAGTCGCGTCGATGAGTGCCATGCAACACCGAAGAAAACCGTAGCCAACCGTCCCACCCACTTAGAGCCAACCTAAAACCGACTGCATTAGCCCCCGACGCCTTGTCCTTCCACCTGGGTGGGTGCAATGGAAGAACCAAACGCCGAATGGGAAGGAACTAAAGCAGGGCCAACACACCTAACATCGGCACACCGAGCCAAATTAACAAAATTTGGCTAACCGAAATCCAACCATCCGTGAGTCGACTCAGCGAGGACGAACTGGCCAACCATCCCCATTTGAAATGCAGGCATCCCAACAACTGGCATTTCGAAGGCCAACAAAACCGTAGCCAACCGTCCCACATACTTATAGCCACCATAAAAACGACTGCATTAGCCCCCAACGCCTGGTCCTTCCACCTGGGTGGGTGGAATGGAAGAACCAAACGCCAGAAGGGAAGGAGCTAGTGCAGGGCCGACACACCTAACATCGGCAAAGCCAAATTAAAGAAATTTGGCTAACCGAGCGAGGACGAAATAGCCAACCATCCCTGTTCGAAATGCCGGCATCCCAACAACCGGCATTTTGAAGCCAACAAAACCGTAGCCAACCGTCCCACCCACTTAGAGCCACCATAAAACCGACTACATTAGCCCCGACGACTGGTCCATCCATCTGGGTGGGTGTAATGGAAGAACCAAAGGCCGGATGGGAAGGAGCCAAAGCAGGGCCGGCACACCGAGCCAAATTAAATAAATTTGGCTAACCGAAATCCAACCTTTTGAGAGTCGACTCAGCGAGGACGAAATAGCCAACCATCCCCGTTCGAAATGCCGGCATCCCAACAACCGGCATTTCGAAGGCCAACAAAACTGTAGCCAACCGTCCCACCCACTTAGAGCCACCATAAAACCGACTGCACTAGCCCCCGACGCTTGGTCCATCCACCTGGGTGGGTGTAATGGAAGAACCAAAGGCCGGATGGGAAGGAGCTAAAGCAGGGCCGACACACCTAACATCGGCACACCGAGCCAAATTAAAGAAATTTGGCTAACCGAAATCCTGAAAGGTAACCATGCAAGGATAGGCAGTGGAATATAAAAATTTTAACATCCTAACATGATTATCTTGCCTAGAATCACGTACTAAAACTTATAGTGAGTAAGAAATTTATACCTTTCTCCGTAAGCGGTAAAAATGAAGAAGTCGTAGGAAGAGCGTTGAAAGTGCAAACGTAACCGTTCAAGCGTCCGGTCTCCAACTTTGACACACGAACAACGCCGGAGTCTACCACAATCTTTATGCTAGTATAAAATATAAAGATTAAAATTGGGATAATAATAATCTTGTATATTTCTATAGAAAATATTTCTAATAATATTTAGAAAATATTATATATATTTTCTATACACAAAATGATATTAATGGAACCAAACTAATATTTTTCTCTCACTAGAAAAATTATGGCCGAATTTCCTTCACAAAATCATCATTTGGTTTGTGAAAAACCAATCTTTTTAAAGTGGACTAATTGTGCGTGACGTGTATATTTAAAACAAAGATTAATCAAACTATTTTGTCATTAGCTAAATGACAAAATTAACTAGCCACTTAATTATCAATCAAGAAAATTTGATTCTCAAAATCCTTATGATGGCCGAAAGTTTGATTATAAAAGTGAGAAGGATTTTTGAAATTCTTCTCCACTTAAATGTTTAAAGTGTATTTTATTTGACACCAAAAAAATTAATATAAAATTAATTTTAAATCAAATAAAATATCAATATCATTTTAAACAAGTATACAGATAAACTTTAAATAGTTTATGTCAAAATAATTATTTTCATAATTAAAATGACAAACCAAAATAAAATATTCAATATACAATATATATATATTAATCGACACATATATATAATATATATATATAACCGAATATTTATATATATAATATTATATTCCAAAATATTTTATTTTACTATTTTACAAATATACAAATTACTTATTATCCCATTGTTTAATCCTACTCCTTAAATTGTCCAAAGTGTGTGACCCGTATAGGCACTTATAAAGCTGGCCACAGTATTGGCTCTGCAC